CCCCCCCCCCCGAAAGGGGGCCTTGAAAGGTTCCCTCTGCCACATGGGTGACACATCTGTAGGTCCCAGGACCAGAATGGGGACCTGTGACCCAGGCACATCCACGTTGCCCTCTCTCTCTTGGCCCTCAGACCTCCTCCCTGCCTCGGACACCGGTGGGTTCCCACCTCAGAGCCTCTGCCTGGGCCGGGTCCGGCCCAGAGTGACCTTCCCAGACCTTCCGGTGAGCACACGGCCACATCCTTCAGTCTCCGTCCCGGGTGGTGAGTGGGGCCTCCGTGCCCTCCCAGCCTGTGAACGGACACCTGCAGCCTGTGCTCAGCTGAGCGTCCACCTCCCCGCAGACTCAGACAGGAGCCCCCTGGGAGTCAGGCTGCATCTGTGGGGGTCCTGCAGTGTCCCCAGCCCGGCACACTGCGGACACACCGTTATTGCTTGTGGAACAGAGGAGTGACCAGACGTGCTTTGCCAGGGCCTGGGCTTCCCCAGCCCCTGGCCGTGCAGCTCGGGCATCTTGTGGGATCTCTGTCCAGCTGCTCCTCGTGGCCCCTGGGAACCTCAGGAGACCAGGACGGGCAGGAAGTGGGTGGACAGGTGGTGCCGCTGTGTCCGGCCACCGCGCCTCGGGGACCCCTGCCCATCCAGCGCCAGGAACATGGGCCGACCGCGGTGACGCCAGCGGAGCGAGGCGTAGGTGTTATAGCCGTTCTCCTCGATGCGCTCCTGGAACCTGCAGTGGGCGGTGTAGACCCGCTTCGGGGGGTCGGGTGTGTGAGGCAGGCCACCGGATACCTGCCCGCCCACCGGACACCCCGCCCCGCCCTGGACGCCCCGTCCCCCACCGGACACCCTGCCTGTCCCCCAGACACTGGTCCCCGCACTGGACACCCACCCACCCCCAACCACCACATACACTGTGCACTCACCGACCCGTAGAGATGGCCCCCGCGGTTCATGGCCACGTAGAAGCCGGTGTGCACAGCCTTGAGGGCCACGACGCCCACACGGATGGAGCGGATCTCAATGATGCCTGGGGGCAGGGGGCAGTCAGGGCCCGTGGTCCGCCATCTACTCACCTGTGCACTCTCGTTCGTTCGTTCATTCATTCATTCGTTCAGGTGACATTCACCAAGCACCTACTGTGTGCTTGGCCCTGTGATGGGCATGGTGACACACGGGACCACACAGGCCCTGCAGGTGCACCCCAAAGATGTGGGGGTGACCAAGGGGCAGGAAGGACACTCGAGCCAATGTGAAGGCTCAAGACAGGATCAGCCCTGCCAAGCGGGGGGAAGTCAGCGGGGCAGGAGGGCACTGAGTTAGGTCAAGGGTGAGAAAACCAAGCCAGAGGAGGCAGGGGATGGCCTGGGCAAGCGTGATGTCAGAACAAGTGACGGGTGTGATGGGCGTAGACCCCCCAGCCGGCCTCCAGAGGGGAGGCATGGTCCAGGCGAAGGCCTGGAGGCGGGACACGGGGTGTCTACAGATTACCGTGCTCAACTCCATGAGCACAGCATGGATGCTGCTGGAGCTCTGTGCCCCACCAAGCCCACGTATCAACTCCAGGTGGGAGGTGCCTGCTGTGTCTCCTTCCTAGAGAGGGAAACTGAGCCTGGGAAGTGGCAGAGCCAGCTTTGGGCCTGACTTGCAGATGGGTGACCCTGGGTGACCCTGTCCCACTCTGAGCTGCTCAGTGAAGTAGAACTGTGGGATGAGCAGCCACCCACAGC